GTGTGTGTGTGTGTGAGAGAGAGAGAGTGTGTGTGTGTCTGTGTGTGTGTGTGAGAGAGTGAGTGTGTGTTAAGTTAAGTTATAGTGAGCTTGTTATTAATAATAATAATTATTATTATTTTTATTATTATTATTGTTGTTGTTACTGTTAGTACTATTATTACTACCAACTAGAAATATTATTATATTGTAATAATATATTACTACTATTATTATTGCTAAATAAAAATATAAAAATACTACTGTTGTAATATTAAGTGTAAAATAAAAGAGTATATATATTGTTCAGGAGTTATTTAATAAAGAAGTATGAGTTCTGGTTCACCCTGTATTTGCATCATTGTTTGACAGAACTGGAGCAGTGTGTGTGCTGCTTCATTTATTATTAGTACAGTGACGTGTGCTGGTGATGACCGTCTGCTGTGTGTCTCAGGAGATTCTCCATCAGGACTGTCGAAGGAGATCGCAAGCGCACTGTCGGCCGTCCCGGGCTTTGAGATGGACCCGTTCTCCACAGACGACCCGCTGGCGCTGGAGGCTCTGGGCATGCTTTCAGACGGGAACCTGATGCTGGCCGACCCCGCCGTCGAGGACTCCTTCCGCTCCGACCAGCTCAAGTGACTCGCAGAGAGTCAGCGAGCGTTCGAACACGGACGGAGATGTGCATGTGGCACTTTGGGTCGAGCGCCGGCAGGTCATGTGACTTGGGTCTTAGCCGCATGCTGACGAATGCACTTATGCACATGCGCTTGAACTGTGAGCTTCTGCCCTTTAACTCTGCGCTTCTCAGACGGTCAAAGCCGCACGATCCACTTCCTGATACAGACCAATCGCAGCCATGTGCCTCCACCGAACGCTGCTCAGGTGCTTCAGTCCCAGCATGCACTGCACCGCACCAGGTTAATGCAGAACCCACACAGGCGTGAGGGTGTGTCCCAGACATGTCTCGGCCAATCATGTGAGTCTGGGGCGGGGCTATCAGGCTGACTGACCAATGACAGGCAGGGAAATACTCAGGTGACCTGTTTGAAATCATCATGTTTCACCCTGATTTAATGTGGCTGTGTTCAGAATAGCATACTATCATGCTGCAGTATACAGCACGCACACTGTACTCAGTACGGGAAACTCTACAGTGCACAGAGAATGTCCCAAAATGCAGTTGTGCTCAACAATTTAAAATAAATGCATATTTTTATTTCAGATAAACTCTGCAACTGATGCAAAAATGCTTATTGTGGAATAATGCCTTACTGTTTATGAACTAATGTTATATATATATATATATACAGTGGGTACGGAAAGAAAAATTAACTTAAATGATTTTAGCAAATGGCTGCAATATAACAAAGAGTGAAAAATTTAAGGGGGTCTGAATACTTTCCGTACCCACTGTATGTATATTTAATATATGTTACTATAAAAAAAAATTAATATGATTAATATTGCAGCATGCACTGCAAACTAAGAAATTAGTTTTTCTGTCAAGATATTTATTTTTAGGAAAAAAAAAAAAGTGTAAAGAATTCAAAAACGTGTTTGCGTCGTTTAAAACCACAATTAACAATCTGGTTTCTACAACTTTCACTTAAGAGCAAAAATCTGCCTTGAAACTTATCGTGATAATTATCAATATCAACTGATATGAAAAAAACTTATCGTGATCATTTTTTTTGGCCATATCGCCCAACCCTATATATAAATATATATACATGCATATCGCTTTATACAAAATAGATTTTTTCAAAGCAGCACAATAACAATCAATGATGCAGAACTCATCAAATATGAGAATTCAAATCAGCTCAGGTTTCTACAGATTAGTATGCACTATATAGTGTGCAGTATGCAGGGAGCTGGTATTCTGTTCTGAACACAGCCGCTATCTTTAGACACGTGTGAGAACAGACGTTGTTTTGTCCCAGCATTCAGTCTGCTCGTGTTTAACGGCCGTTCTGATGATCCAGACTAACTAGTCTCCTCTCTGTTTCAGGCCTGTGTTCTCTGGCGACCGTGTGCTGTTTTCTGGCCGGGATGGATCTGCTGCGCCGTGTCTGTGTTGCCGGATCACGTGGACGGTGCGCTGGGCTGGTCGCTGTATCTGGCGCTCATCGCGTCTCCTCTGCACATGATGGCCGCTGCGCTGCTGGTGTGGGCGGCTCGCAGCCACAGTCAGAGCTACTACCGAATGACTGTCTACAGAGTCGCGTAATAACCACAGCGGATCCAAAACATTCAAAACCAACAGTCACCCTGAGGCTGTGGTACATAGATGTGATCAGTGTGTTGAAGAGAGACACCTGCTAGTCAGAAAAGGCGAGTGTTTGTGTGAGAGAGAGTGAGTGTGTCTGTGTGTGTGTAAGTGTGTGTGCGCGTGAGTGTGTCTGCATGTGTGTGTGTGCGTGTAAGTGTGTGTGTGTGTGTATGATCCGCTCGTCTACACTCTCTTCTGCCTGTATTTGCACGTTTATTCTCCTGAGCAAGGCCATATTTAGAGGAAAACGTATTTTTATGTAACTAAATGCTGCATACTATGAGATTTATTTTTAAATAAAGTTGCTATAGATGTTTATGCGCATAAATGTATATTTGTATGATGAACAGTACTTTGGTCGTCCATGTTATTATATATATTACCGTATTTTAGTGTTACAGAAGCTGGTATGTCTGACGTTTGTGCTGTTTAGCGTCTGCTGCAGCGTTGAGCTCAGGTCTGACAGAAATATATAAATATATGATGTTAAGAACCGCATCCGTCGAAGCTTCAGCTCGTCTGCTTGAGCTCTGCACCGTGTTAACTAGTCCTAGCTGTTGTGTATGGGTATGAAAAGAAATGAAATATCCACATTCTATTTTTAAGATGTACTTTTACGATTGTTGCTCTTAATTTTTGTTATTTTGGTAACCAGGGAAACTGTGTATGTTGTAAATAATGTCCTGTTGGAAGATTTTTTAAAGACTGTATCCTCACCTTATTTTGCAGAAAAATAAAGAATATAAGTGAATATGTGCATCAGACTCTGTGACATCATTTCCTTTATATATATATATA